ATCTAACGGCCTTTGAACGCATGGACAGATTCCACGAGCTTGTGCTACATATCGCCCACTGCATTGCAGTTTTCTAGACGCTGAAAAGGATTTTGTAACTCAAGATGAAAATTTTCGGGATTTTGAATTAGAGTACGAGGAGGACGGAGCGTTGCCTTCATTAGAGACGTAACCTCTCCAACTTAACGTTTAGGTTTAGTTGCCTCTCACCATTCAGTGATCCCTGCTCGTTTTCACCCTCGCGACTACTGAGACATCACTAAACAGTTGCCGTCTAGTCGTCATAATGAAGTCAATCTCATTTATTCTCGATCCTTCGGGGCTTGATCAGGTCCAATTAATGTGGGTCCGCTTCTGAAAGAAAGAGTTCATCATAAAGAGTCCCTCTTTCTTCATGAAGTTGACCAGCTGCTGGCTCCTTGGATATCGTTGCCCCCTTCTGAATTTCCCTACCTTCAGCTCACCGTTCTCTCTTGTGCCTAGTTTTGCATTGAAGTCTCCCATTAACATCGTATGGTGGGTTTTGGAGGAATGTTCTAGATATATCGTCATACATTTCCTTCACCTTCTCATCGGGATGTGCCGAGGTTAGTGCGTAAACCTGTATGTACTTCAGCGAATACCGTTTTGTAGTTTTGAGTATGAGATACGCAACCCTTGTAGACACACTTCCAATCTTTACAACGTTTCTGACGAGAGACTTATGGACGATAAATCCGATACCTCCTTGGAACAGATGGTCACCCTCCCGGTGATACAACAAATTGCCGAATTTGAGGATTTATGTCCGTGTCCTCCCCCTCTCTTCGGACCTCGGATTATGCCATTATATTCCAACGCAAGTAGTCTATCTCTTCTTCCAGCTCCAGGATCTCCTCTTCAGTCCTCAGGGTGCGCGCATTATAGTTTGCCAGAGCAAGTCCCTTGCCCCGCGGTTACCATGGTGACACCGTAGTTACCAGCGTAGCCAGAAATAGCAGGGCCGCCGGGGACTGGGGGCCGTGTCTTTATAACCACGTGGTAGAGCCATACTGCAGCTATAATAGTAGTATAGTTGTAGCACGAATGATTCGGCTCGACCGGGGAAGGGCCATGCTCCCACAGAATACCAGCGTAAAATAGCAGCTTAACACTGCTGTGTTTCGTGTGGTGAGTGTAGAGAACCGGAAATCCTTTTCACTGGAAAAGAGGCATTCCATCTTAGTCCTCACGGATGACAACGCATCTGCATTTTGATTTTTTATTGATGATAGATGTAGATGTCTATGAGTCACGGTAACCATTTACCATCAGGTGGAGTGTGTGGTCTTTTGTCACCATATTCTATATAAATAAGAAAACTCGTCATGGGCGTTATTTTGCCACAGTTGCCACGCTCGGCGAGCGGTATGGCAAACGCAGTTTTTTTATTGTTATTTGTCTGTTATCAGAAAGATGATGCTGCCCATCTTCTGTCTCAGTTTTCTTCCGTCGCCTCTTACAACACCCACGGGAAGATATGGTGTAATGGGTATTCTTGCCCGCCACTACACGGGATTAAAGGCAGGTCATTAAATGGCGTAATTGTGGGAAATAATATAATATTTTATTCTGTTATGTCATGAGATACTTATTCTTCAGGAGTTTGCGTTGGTGTACCTACCCTTCAGCAAATTACCAAAATTGTCCAACTTTGTCTATAATACTTGAGCAAAAATTACATTTCAGTAAATTTACTGCGGGAAAAACAAATTTAAAAACGTACTGCAACGTCACTATATAACATACTAATAGAGATTCTGTGTCAAAGACATAAACAAATTGCCAACGATAAAGATTCTTTACGATGTATAGTTCATTTCAAATAGGATGGCAGGATTCCACTTGAGACTTAGCAATTACAGCTGTAATGTTAATCTATCGTTGTGTGATTATTTTATTGCTTTAACACTTGAAGTTAAGCATCTGTTGATAATAATGAACCAGTATAGCTGGAATGACGAATTTTGGTACTTGAACATTAAAACAAATTAAATTGTAGATAAAAAACCTTTATTACTTTTAACTTAACTATTTTAAATACTTATAACAACTTGTTAATATTTTGTTTAATCAATCACTCTGAAGAACATTCATCGGTATCTGTGTCCTCACACGTATTTATTATAAATGGTTGTATCCGATCCCTCGAAAATTCGTTTTCCACTCTTATGACATGGTCACAAACATTCTTCCAAAAAATTTTTTTAAAGATTTTTTATCTACAATTTAATTTGTTTTAATGTTCAAGTACCAAAATTCGTCATTCCAGCTATACTGGTTCAGTATTATCAACAGATGCTTAACTTCAAGTGTTAAAGCAATAAAATAATCACACAACAATAGACTAACATTACAGCTGTAATTGCTAAGTCTCAAGTGGAATCCTGCCATCCTATTTGAAATGAACTATACTATGATATGAAGACACACCAAACAAGCAATAATATCAAACCAGACTTCACCTTTACAAATAATATTAGTCCTATTTACACAAGAGGATTTTCTCGAACATGAATTTACATAAGAAGAATTTCTCGAGTTATGATATATCGTTATATACCATAACTCCTTTGTTCACATTTTAGTCAAAGTTGCTATCATTCATGCGACATTAAAATGTTTACACTATAGGGTAATGATAACTATTGTGATGAAACTTAGAAATCTAAGTAATATAATATTTAAGATACAAATCATGCGAAATTTATCTTAAAACTTGTTATGTTAGAAATCGTTTGTACACTCGAAACAAAATATCACAGACTAAGCAATCTTCAAAAAAGTCATAATAATTGCTATACGTATTCCATAATATCATCTAAATATTTAGTAAGTATACAAAACTCCAGTTTATGTGTTACTGGATATTATCACTTAGATATTTGTAAATGTAATCACACATTGAGTATTATGAAAAAACCTAACATTTTAATAAAAACTAATAAAAGGTCGGGGAAAAGTATCTTCGTATTTTTTCTTGTTAATTTTCTGTGGTATTATATATACAATTTCAAGAAATTTTTTTTTTCAAAGTTTATTTAAATTTAATTATTATATATAATGTGTCATTTAGTTCGATAACTTGTTGACATCTTGTAGGTAGCGACATAATCCCGTTGCCGCAGAAATCTTGGGATTTTTATAAAAAAAAATGCGACAAGTAGTTTTGACAGTCCTCTCTTGATGTTAACCTAACACTACCCAAAAAATTCTGAAGAAACCGAAAACTCTGAGGGTGCAAGGTCAGGACTATACGGTGGACGGAGTAACACTTCCTAACCAAGCTCTCTCAATTTTGGCTGAATGGCCAAATATATGCGTGGTCTGGCGTTATCGTTGGCGCTATAAAAGACCACTCCTTTTCTGTTGATCAATTCCGGCCGTTTTTTCTCAATTTCTTCCTTGAGTCTCATTAGTTGTTGGCAGTAGAGATCCGTATCGAGGGTTTTTCCCGGCGATAAAAGCTCATAATAATCGATGCCTTTCCAATTCCACCATACACACAGCATCACGTTGTTGCGTGTTATTCCGGGTTTCGCTATAGTCTGTGGAGCTTAACTACCGTTTGACCACGACCTTTTTCGAACATTCTTGTCGTAGGTGATCTACTTTTCATCACCAGTGATCAATCTTTACAAAAATGGTTCGGTTTTATTACGTTACAATAGAGAATCGCAAATGAGTACACGATTCATTAGGTCTCTTTGTGTAAGCTAGTGTGGTAACCAAATATCGATCTTTTTTGTCAAATGGGTCAAAACTTTTTCTTCAATTCTCAATTCCTCGGCTATGTCGTAACTACGTAATATACCGATCTTACTCCACTTTTTCAAAAATGGCATCGACTTTATCCATATGAGGGCGACCAGAGCGCGCTGCATCTTTGACATAAAAATTCCCTGACTGAAAACGCATAAACTACTCTTACTCACAATGGTAGTGATACCAGTTTCTCGACTCCAGAGTCAGTAATTCATTCTTTGGGCAATTTATACGCTATTACAACAAGGTCCCGGAAAGTGAACATACAGGCTATTACCAAGTTTAAATGTTTTCTTAAACTGAAACTGTATAAAAAGGGTTATTACAATTTAAATGAATAATTGGTTTATAATAACCCCTCGGAATGAGGTGGTCGCTTCCAAGCAGTTTCTTAAAGAAATTTTGTAAATAATTTATACAACCACTAATGTAAAATTTACTTTAAAAAAAGTCCCGCTTGGTTTCTTGCTGGTTGTTTCCAGCACAGAGGGTTTTTTTTAGAACCAGTGGTAAAGTAAAAAATGACTTTCAATAAGAATTACACATGTGATCTATATCGAATAAAAAATTATTCTATTCTATTCTATAGGTACTGCCTTAAGTCCATAAACGTCCAAAAGTTTTTTTGCGACTTGAGTCGCATTTTTCTCTTGACATGATAAAACTTCAAAATGTATCGAATTTCTTCGTTAGCTTCACTCATTTTGGCGGACAGAAAAACAATTGAAAAATGGCGGGAAAGTATTTTTTACTTTTTATTTTTCTTCCTCTTAATGTCCTTTATGTATTGATATTAAAATCAGCCAGATACAAACAGTACAACCAAAGAGATTTTTTTCAATTTTATACAAACAAAATACGAAAAAACTTTAACGGCCTATTACATAAATTTTGTACGCAAAACGGTTACAACAACATCAATGCGCGTTATATCAATGGACATCCAACTAACAACGCGAATATAAAAACTATTTTAGATAGTAAAATGTAGCTCTCCGTTACATGCCGATGACTGCACATCACAAATGCGTTCAAGGAAATTACAATCAAAGTGGGCATTGTCACCACCATGCGATAATGAGAGAAATTTAACGCTATTGTTCCCCTTCCCCTTGGAATATTATAAATTTAGAGAGTAATTTATGTCACATTTCATATACATACAGCCTCCTAGCGAACGATTTGCACTTGCGTAGACATTTAAATAACATTATAATATGGGTTTAAAATGTTTAGTGATTTTATTTGGTTTGTTAAAGTTTTGCGAGCTTAATGAGACCATACATAGAGACACTTTATCAAGAGTTGCGAATAGCAAAGCAACAGGTGGAATATATTTAACAAAGTGGAATAGAGGCTTAGAGAGAGGTCATCAGGACACAAAAAAGCTTGAACATAGATTTTGGCCCCCGGTCCAAAGAGATAGTAGATGTAAGTTTGAAAGTCGAGTTAAAGTATCAAAGAGAACACCAGATGTGTGCAAAGATTGTCATTATTATATATGTCATGACGAAAACAGACCTTTTCAACATTGTGCCAACAGTCTAGCATTTTTAGACTGTATTTTAAAACGCTCTTATTATGAACATGTGTATATATATGTACGTACTTAAAAGTATGTGTGTTCTTAAAAAAAAAATGGAATTTTTGAATTCAGTTTTCACCCAATTCCTGACGTTTGAATAATATGAAATTATGCGGATGTATTAAAAACCGATGGCGATATAATAATTTCATGGCTATGAATCTCACAAGGTTTATCACAGACCATGATCATTGATCATGTCGTTTAAGGTAGTCGGTTTGGTGTTGAAAGGCTTGTATAATTTGCAGTACATATGAACATTAACAAGAATTTAGAGAATTACTTTACATAATTCGCCCCTCTAATCTCTTAGAAAAATATAACCAGTCCAAGCAAAAAAATCGGTAACTTAATGTAATATGACTTTAACATTGGTACCAAATTCGCAATTATTGTTCTGAACATGTTAAGAGAGTGACATCAAACCGACGCAATAACATTATCATATATAACAATCGTTTTGACTATATTATTTAATTTTTTACAAATGTTGCAGTCCTATCTCTTTTTACCGTGGTAACATTCCCGAACGGTGGATGTGCTGGTGCGTCTGGAGACAACGGCACTTGTATGACTGCACGTGAATGCACGTCAAGAGGTGGCTCTGCTAACGGTTATTGCGCGAATGGATTTGGACTTTGCTGCATTTGTAAGTTGTTTATATTTTTTGATATTGTTAAATTTATTTAATTATTATTTTTTCATTTACCATAAAATAGTTCGTAATACTTTACTGTTATACACATTACTAATGTAATTTGGTCGAAAAACTACCACACTGTCGTGCTAACGTAAAAGGCGACTTTTGACATTTTGGCAAAATTGACTTTTAAACAATACTACAATGTTAAAAATCTCTCTCTATTTAGTGGTCTTGTCGGTATTTTTCTATTTTCGTTTTCGGGATACTGAGTTTGTAAAATAACGTAAAAACTCGAATGACGTAAGAACTTTCGAAACTGTCTGGCTACTGAAGAAACATCTTCTAACAGTTACCCAAGTAACATATTATAAAATTCAACTTTTATACTCTAATTTATTAAAGTTTAATGGTGTCTGGCAAGTGGTTGTCATGATACTAAGTGGCTGGCAACGGATCACGTGATTTCTAATATTATTCTGAAGAAAATATGAGAAAATTACGCTTTATACATACAATTAATACATACAAATTTAAGTTGCCTGCAAAACCCAAGATGATCCAAACATCATGATAGCCAGAATATTACAGCTTTTAAAGAAAAAATAAAGTAGTTCTTGCTTTCACTGAATTTCGCTCTAATAGTTTTACTGAATTTTAATTGATTTATATTTAGTTTATACAGCAGTAAAATAGTGAGAAAAAGCTAAAATAACGTATGTTAAAATTTTGCCGTATTTTAGTCAATTAAACTGATTAAACAAAACGTAATTTCTACGAGTCCAAAAAATAGTATATCCAAACATACGTTATTTAAGTTTAGAATATGAATATAAATATTTCACTGAATGCTACATGTTGAAGTTATATGAATTATTGTACAGAATTTAAACCTGTTTATGTTCATGAAACATTTAGGTGATGGAAAAATACACATCAATTTTCTATGTGATGAAATAATAACTCAATTCTCAAATCAAATCTCAATTCAAATTCAAAATCGGAAGATACATCTACCTTGACTCTTCTGACGGTGATAGGATCATAGAGGATAATTAAAAAAATCTCTACATGTACACTAGAATACAGAATCTTCAGAGAACTCAGAACCTCCTTTATGTAGAGGACAAAAAATAAAAAACGAAATCTTGGGTATAACAAAAGAAATTATTTTGCTAAAACATATCCAAGAAAAAGCCAACACTAGCTTGAGTGACCGAATAAAGTTGAAGGCACAAAAAAAGACAAGAGAGTGACAGCAAATATATAAAAAAAAAATTTGGAAGAGTATATAGATATTTTTTTAGCAATAAATCATACATATTGAGTATAAAATTTAAAAGTTATTTTAAAAATTATGCACAAAGTAAGAGCCTCAGACACTATAAAATAGAAAGTTCTTTAAATAAACGCAGAAATTGAAATTATAGATATTGTTTACAAGACTAATGATATTTAAAAATTTGGACTCGCTAACTTTATTGATACATATTATTATGATTGTTGTGCTTTAAAAACAACTGAATATAATTATTTTATGCATCACCCATACATTTAATTTGTTTTTTGCTTCCTTCTAAAAGTTATACGTCATTCATTTTAAGTTTCGATATGTGCTCACTTACTTGATTATCATCATCATCATCATCATTACAGCCTTTCATAAGTCCACTGCTGAACATAGGCCTCCCCCAAGGAATGCCACAAAGCACGGTCCTCAGCCACCTGCATCCATCGACTTCCTGTATGTCTTACCAGGTCGTCACTCCATCTCGTGGGGGGTCGCCCTACACTTCGCCTACTGGTACGCGGCTGCCACTCAAGAACCTTTCTTCCCCATCGGTTGTCGGTTCTTCGAGCTATATGGCCGGCCCACTGCCACTTCAGCTTACTAATCCGTTGGGCTATGTCGGCTACGCTGGTTCTACTGCGGATATCCTCATTCCTAAATTTATCACGCAGAGAAACTCCGAGCATAGCCCTCTCCATAGCTCGCTGAGCGACCTTGAACTTCCTCATACGGCCAGCAGTGAAGAATCACGTCTCAGTTCCATAAGTCATCACTGGCAACCCGCACTGGTTGTACAATTTAGTTTTAAGGTTTTGAGGTATGTCTGAATAGAAGATGTGTCGTAGCTTCCCGAACGCTGCCCAGTCGAGTTGAATCCGTCGATTGACCTCTCGGTCGAAGTTGGACTTACCTAGACGGACTATTTGTCCCAGGTAGACATACTCGTCAACAACTTCGAGCTAAGTGCTCCCAACAACTACCGGCATAGGTGTGCCATGGACATTAAACATAATCTTTGTTTTGTCCATGTTCATCTTAAGACCTATCCGTTGGGAGACACTATTGAGGATATTGAGCATAGTGCTTAGGTCATCCAGCGATTCTGCCATAAGGACTATATCGTCGGCAAATCGAGGGTGAGTGATGTACTCACCATTGATGTTAATACCGTATCCTTTCCAGTCCAGAAGCTTGAAAACGTCTTCCAATGCAGCGGTAAAGAGTTTCGGGGATATAACGTCACCCTGTCTTACACCTCTCTGCAATTGGATAGGTTTCGTACTCTGGTTCTGTACTCTTCTGTACACTTCAGCACTTTGATATACCGACAGTCAACTTGGCACCGCTGAAGGAACTGCAGCACCGCCCGAATTTCGACGGAATCAAAGGCTTTCTCATAGTCCACATACGCCAGGCATAGTGGCAAATTGTACTCCTTGGACTTCTGTACAACTAGCCGAAGGGTATGTATGTAGTCTATGGTGCTGAAGCCCTTTCGGAAGCCGTCTTGTTCGGGAGGCTGGAAGTAGTCAAGTATGCGTGCGAGACGATTCGTAATGACCCTCGAAAACAGCACGTAGACGCGGCTCAGAAGGGAAATCGATCTGTAGTTCTTCAAGAGAGCATTGTCACCTTTCTTGAAGAACAAGACCACCGCACTTCTGCTGCACGCCTCCGGTGTAACGCCACCAAGGAGGACGGAATTAAAGAGCCTCTGAAGGACTTCCAGTACCGGTTTTCCACCCGCTTTCAGAAGCTCCGCTGTAATTCCATCCTCGCCTGGGGCCTTGCCGTTTTTAATATGCTGGAGAGCCATTCTAATCTCGCTCAGACTGATGTCCGGGATATCTTGGGAATAGTGTCGGATAAGACTCGCTCTTGGATCGTTACTCACACTTGCGTGTGGCTCCAACGATGACGTGTATAGCCGTCCATAGAACCTCTCAATGTCACTCAAAATCTCAGGTACCCCGGAAACGATGCTGCCACACTCGGTCTTCAGCTTTGACAGTTGGCTCTTTCTGGCAGACAGATCTCTGGCAAAGACTCAGGAGCCTTGGTTCCGCTCGATCGCTTCTTCAATAAGATTCTGAGTTCATGGGAAGTACCCTATAGGTTTTGATTCCCTTGCGAATGTCGAAAATTTGCTGCATAAACTGCTGTATCTTTTGATTGCGTTGGCTTAGAAGTTTGCTTTTTTCACAACTCCAAGGGACAGTAGACTTGAGTATTTGATATGTATTTCAGCTTGATACCTCCACGCGTTCCTGAGAAAAAGGGTCTTGACAGACAGACAGACAGACGGACGGACAACAAATTGATCCTATAAGGGTTCCGTTTTTCCCTTTTGATGTACGGAACCCTAAAAATAATAAACAAGCCTTGGCAATAATTAGCAACACTTCAAAAAATCAACTTAAAAAACTAACTATAGTATGTGAGGGTAATATGGTCATCCGGTTAATATGGTCACTTTATTATAACTCTAAAACCACAGCGTCGTTTGCATAGAATGCTTTGTGATACGATAGCTTTTGATCAGTCTATCAAATAATAAAGGGTCAAAAAGGCGCTCCTTTATCGACGCCATTTTGACAGTTGATATCACTGTAAATATTTTAGTCGATTTTTGTACTGTGTAGTGTAGTTAGTTTTTTAAGTAGATTTTACGAAGTGTTCCTAATTATTTCCAAAGCTTGTTTGTGTTTTTGTCTCTGTTCTCGTCCTAATTTTGGTTTTAGAGGGGGATAAAGCTTAAGGTGACCATATTACCCTCACGTACTTACTATAATATCAACTGTCAAAATGGCGTCGATAAAGCGGCAGCCTTTTGACCCTTTATTATTTGAATGACTGATGAAGAGCTATCGTATCAGAGAGCCATCTATGGAAATGAGGCTGTAGTTTTTGAGTTATAAGAAAGTGAACATATTAACCGGATGACTATATTACCCGCACGTACTCTATTTAAAATGTCACATATATAGGTATTTCTTTAACAGAGTAAGGAAAAATTATAACAGCAATGTAGTAAATTATCTTTCTGATATTGGGTCATTCTAGATAATGAATACATTCAATTCATATTCAATTATTTACATGTTGTTTTGGTAAGTGCATCTACAATAAACTTCTTACTTAGTACTAAAAGAAGTTTTCGAATAGCCGAACTTAATTTCAAAGTATAAACATAACAATAGGTAATAACAACGTAATAGTAATTAGTTGTTTTTTCTTTTTAGTAAAATATGAAAAATATTTAACCAATAAATTACGTAAAATTTATACAGCTAATTTAATTAAAAAATAAAAAGTGTGTGTGTACTAATGTACATATTATGTAGAAAGTTATACTTCTTTATCGCAACAAAACAAAAAAAAATTTGAGAGACAATTACCCACTGAAGTTGTCGCTTTTAGGTGACAGTGTGCGCGCGCATCGTAACAACTTCATGGTATCGTTTTTAGGTGTCGGTGTGCGCGCGTATAGTTTTTCAAAATAAGAATTCACTCTCATAGTTTTTCCCAAACGCCCCAAACGAAGTATAACTTCAAGAACGAGTAAAGTTACTTACAAGTATATAGATTTCATAACACCCTATAATGTCTATTACAAAGTTTACAAAGTTTTTAGCACAAAAGTTTTTAGCGTCACAATTTTATGAGTTTTGGCATCCCACGTTTTTCAATTTTACTTCAACATTTGTCGAAAGTCGCCTTTTTAATTAACAGGGCAGTACAGTACTCAAATTACATACTGTAACGAATTATTTTTTGCTGAGACTTAAACTTATCTACTTTTTATAACAGTTATGACATCTTGTGATAGCAGTACATCGGAAAATAGTACATATTTTGTTAATTCTGGATATCCAGCGCCGTACGAGGGTACAGGATCTTGTGAATTATCAGTTATTAAGGCGCACCCAGACGTTTGTCAAATAAGGTAAGTTTTGAGTTTCATTCAATCAAATCTATGTTTTTAAAAAGGTGTATATAAAATAAAAGTAAATACTCTTAGATACTGTTGTAACACAAATCACTAATGTATATAAGTATATATATGTTATACAGCGACATAATATTTTTAGAAGAACCTTCAAGCCGTATTCATTTTTATAAATTTTTCACATTATTCATTTATTTGTTTATTGATTTAATAAATTAAATTTGTCTGGACTATAGACTAACATCATCTTTAGAAGTCATATCATTTTTAGAAGAACATTTTAGGCATATTCATTGGATCTTTAATTTAAAAATAGTTTATGCATTTATACTTAAGGTGAAACATACGGTCTGCTCTCAGCCATATTCCTGCGAGATGGTGCTGAAGTCATAATTTTTTAGTTTATTTGGGTTTTTGTGTAATTGGAACATTATTAAGTCGTAGAAGTAGCAATAACGATACTCGGACATTATACTTTATTTTACTAGGTCATATCATTACCTCAAAATCCACACAATTCAACACAAAATTTAAATTAATCTCAAAAAGACAAATAGTGATCATTGCGACCGGGGACTGAACCCTGGTTTCTAGAACATTATCTTAAAATTTTTCCTAAATTTGTTAAGAAAATAACAAAAGTAGTTCAACCGGTGGATCGAACCCGGAATCATAGATTATTGTCTTAAAAATTCCCTTTATGAATTTACTAAGAAAAATATTGCTAAGAAAACAACAAAAAGTAGTTCGACCGGGGAATCGAACCCTGGACCTTAGGATTCGAAATTTCTTTAAAATTTTACTAAGCGTTTTCGTATAGTATAATTATTGCTTGATAATTTATCTTTAGAAGCTATTCGTAATTGGTAAACTAAAAAATTGAGATATTATTAGGTGAAAAAGTATTTCCTAATTTCAAAGCACACACAACTACAAAAGTTTTTAGTAAAACAAAAATCATTTGACTTTTATTGATTAGATTAGTTTAGGGCAAGAAAAGAAAATGTCCGCCGAGGTGCAATTAACAAATTCATCGGTGCTGGCTGGGCTCGAACTCATGTTGCTCGCGTAGTGTGAAAATTTGCAGTGAGCCCTAACCATCTGAGCAAAGAGATTTAAATATATAGGTATACTATAGAGCGGACATTGGGAACATTTATATACAAAAACTTTGAGCTAGTACGCGTGTGGCACCCTCTAGCTAAATATAGCAAAACAACGCTAAGAATTTATTAAGACAACATTTTAGCTATTCCCCAGTAGGTGACGCTAATAAATATAACCTCGTTTTAGGAATGTTACCATTTCGATATCAAAGTATCGATAATGTTGTTGAAGATTACTAAGTTTGAAATGCTTTTCGATATAATAATAGGAAATATACATGATTGTTTTATAATTAAAATTGGTAACTAAATAGTGACGTTTACTGGATAACAGAGGGCGCTTATTACAATAAAAATATAAAAGTTCTAAAAGTTATATAAAGCTTTGAAAGTTCTAGAACAATATTCTAGAAATAATAAAATTCAAAGATTATTCGGTAAATATATGTTATATTTACGATAATAAACCGATATCACGTTCATTTTTTGCTCCATATCGTGACTTACAATATTTTAATGCACAACCAGGCATATTTTCTTTAAAAATATTTTTTAAATATATGAAACGGATGCGTCTTGACTTTTGACAAAGACATTTAAGTAGTAGTAGTAATAGACCGGATATCAGTAGCAAAATTGTCGTCTGTAACTTATGTCCTATAGGATATATCTCCGATTTTTGTCATTTAGTCTTAGTGACATCGTCAAAAAGTGAAGACGCATTCGTTTCATATATTTATAAAATATTTTTAAAGAAAATATGCCCGGTTGTGCATTTAAATATTGTAAGTCACGATATGGAGCAAAAAATGAACGGGATTTCGGTTTATTATCGTAAATATAACAAATATTTACCGAACATTCGTTTAGATGGCGCTACACGTGCATACATTTTATCCATGCATAACAAAGTAAATATTATTGATATGAATGTTTATTCAAGATACCATTAACTGTTAGAAGACATACAGACAGAGCTATGTTAGAATGTTTCGATAGATTTTACGAAGAATTAGACCATCGTTACATTCTTGTAACATTTAGTGTTGTTCAGCCTAACACTCTGATATCGACAAAAGAAGATCTTCTTGAAATAATTCCAAATCTGACAAAATCTATGATGAATTTACTACAGAAGATAAAATTTTAGAAATATTACGACTGAGGCGCCACTTGGAAGCCGCCAGCATTTCTTATCAAGACGCGGTTCAATGGACTTCATTGGAACTTCTCAGATTTATCATAAAATAGGACTATTCTAAGTTTGTTCCGAATCTAGAACTATCTAATATTTCTTATAACTATTTGTTTCGGTAGCTTCATTGAAAGAAACTTTTCAAAACTCAATTTAATAAAATCATACTTAAGATTCACAATGAGTCAAGCGCGACTAACCAACCTTTCCATATTGTCTATCGAAAAGGACAAGAAAGTAAATTTTGATAGCATATTTTGTTTTATTTTGGGGGTGCTTGATAGAAAACCGCCCCGGGTGCCAACCCACACTATGCCGCCACTGTTAATCATTGTATTTAACAAATTCATGTTTATTTAAAATGTTCCTGTATAAAACAGGTTAGACTTCGACCGTTTCTCAATAGCGGGTCCAGAACAGGTTAACCACGTTTGCAACCAAGATCAGTTCATTGTCTCCGGCGGCAACCCTATTCCAGCTATATGTGGATCGAACCAAGGCAGTCACAGTTAAGTTTTATTGCATTAAATTATAACTACGTCTCTGTGTTTTGGGACACACCACTCATGGAGCGTATTCTTATAGTCATAAATAATAAAGAGATAATTTAGTACATAACGAAGAAATAACCTAAATGATAAAAGACTAAAATTTAAAATTGGATTTTTTTTAATGGAGGCAGTAACAGATAGCAATCAATTACGTATTTCCCGCAAAGAAAGTCAATTACCTATTTAGTGCACAATGTAATACGGGTAAATACTATTGGGCATTATTAACCTTGGCCTGCATGCATGTGTATATATGTATGTGAATATAATTGAATTTTAAATTAATTTTCACTCGCTTTTGTACGTCAGAATAACCTGAAATTACGCAGACGTATTAGGAACTGATGCCGTGTAGTGGCAGTCAAGAATATCCACTACCCCATATCTTTCCGTGGGTGTCGTAAAAGGCGACAAAGGGCAACAGGCAGGAGATGGGCAGCAGCATCTTCCTGATAACAGCAAAAGTACAATAAAAAAACTGCAGTTGCCAACCTGCTCGCCAAGCGTGGCAACTATGGCAAATACCCTCCTATGAAGAGAGTAACAAAGAGACGGCCCCCAGTCCCCGGCGGCCCCGCTATTCCTGGCTACGGTGGCGACCATGGTAACAGCGGGGCAGGGGGTGCTAAGAATCTCCGGTGGAGGTTCGGTTGCCACCTTAGACGACTCGACCTGGCAACGTACAACGCACGCACCCTGAGGACTGACGAGAACATCGTGGAGCTGGAAGAAGAGATACACAAGTTACGCTGGCATATTATAGGATTATCCGAAGTCCGAAGAGAGGGGGAGGACACGGTAATCCTCGAATCCGGCAACTTGCTCTATCACCGGGAGGGCAATCATCTGTCCCAAGGAGGTGTCGGATTTATCGTCCACAAGTCTCTCGTTAACAACGTTGTAAAGATCGAGAGTGTGTCGACGAGGGTTGCGTACCTTATATTCAGAATCACCAAACGGTATTCGCTGAAGGTCATACAATTTACGCACCAACCTCGGCACACCCCGATGAGGAGGTGGAGGAAATGTATGAGGATATCTCTATAGCCATGCATTCCTCCAAAACCCAATATACGGTGTTAATGGGAGACTTCAATGCAAAACTAGGCACAAGAGAGAACGGTGAGCTGAAAGTAGGGAAATTTGGAATAAGGCAACGGAACCCAAGGGGCCAGCAGCTGGCTGACTTCAAGGAGAAAGAGGGGCTCTTTATGATGAACTCTTTCTTCCAGAAGCGGCCCCACAGGAAGTTGACCTGGTCGAGCCCCGACGGTTCGACAAAAAATGAGATTGACTTCATTATGACGACCAAACGACAACTGTTCAGTGATGTCTCCGTGATCGCGAGGGTGAAAACTGGTAGCGATCACCGAATGCTTAGAGGCACATTGAACCTAAACGTTAAGTTGGAGAGGTCTCGTCTACTGAAGTTCGCTCCGCCCCCTCGTGCTCTGTTCCAAAGTTCAGAAACCTTTCAGCTCGAGTTACAAAACCGTTTTCAGTGCCTAGAAGACTGCAATGAAGTGGACGATATGAATGACAAGCTCGTGGAAACTGTCCATGCGGTCGGAGCTAAGTTCTGCAAGACCCGCCGCAGAAGAACACAAAAACTCTCCGATCACACTCTCTCTCATGGCTGTAAGACGGGAGATGAAGCTACATTCTTCAACAGATTTGAAAGCACACAGGCAACTGAACAGACGGATTTCCAAATGCATGCGGCGGGACTTACGCAACTTCAATACAGCTTGTATTGAAGAAGCGATCGAGCGGAACCAAGGCTCCAAAGTCTTTGCTAGAGATCTGTCTGCCAGAAAGAGCCAACTGTCAAAGCTGAGGACTGAGTGTGGCAGCATCGTTTCCGGGGCACCTGAGATTTTGAGTGAGATTGAGAGGCTCTATGGACAGCTGTACACGTCATCGTTGGAGCCACACGCAAGTGTGAGTAACGATCCAAGAGCGAGTCTTATCCGACACTATTCCGAAGATATCCCGGACGTCAGTCTGAGCGAGATTAGAATGGCTCTCCAGCATCTTAAAAACGGCAAGGCCCCAGGTGAGGATGGAACACAGCGGAGCTTCTGAAAACGGGTGGAAAACTGGTACTTGAAGTCCTTCAGAGGCTCTTTAATTCCGTCCTCCATTGTGGCATTACACCGGCGGCGTGGAGCAGAAGTGCGGCGGTCTTGTTCTTCAGGAAAGGTGACCACGCTCTCTTCAAAAACTACAGACCGATTTCCCTTCTGAGCCGCGTCTACGTGCTGTTTTCGAGAGTCATTACGAATCGTCTTGCGCGCAGACTTGACGACTTCCAGCCTCCTAAACAAGCCGGTTTCCGAAAGGGCTTTAGCACCATAGACCCTACGGCAAGTTGTACAGAAGTCGGAGGAGTACAATTTGCCACTATGCCTGGCGTATGTGGACTATGAGAAAGCCTTTGATTCCGTTGAAATTTGGGCGGTGCTGCAGTCCCTTCAGCGGTGCCAAGTTGACTGTCGGTATATCTAAGTGCTGAAGTGCTTGTACAGTAGGGCTACGATGGCTATCCGAGTACAGAACCAGAGTACGAAACCTATCCAATTACAAAGAGGTGTAAGACAGGGTGAAGTTATATCCCCGAAACTCTTCACTGATGCATTGGAAGACGTTTTCAAGCTTCTGGACTGGAAAGGATACGGTATTAACATCAATGGCGAGTACATTACTCACCTTCGATTTGCCGACGATATAGTCCTTATTGCAGAATCGCTGAATGATCTAAGCACTATGCTCAATGACCTCAATAGTGTCTCCCAATGGATAGGTCTTAAGATGAACGTGGACAAAACAAAGATCATGTTTAATGTCCATGTCACACCTATGCTGGTAGTTGTTGGAAGCATTAAGCTCGAAGTTGTTGACGAGTATGTTTACCTGGGACAAATAGTCCGACTAGGTAAGTTCAACTTCGACCGAGAGATCAATCGACGGATTCAAATCGGCGGGGCAGCATTCGGGAAACTACGACACATCTTCTCGTCAGACATACCTCAAAACCTTAAAACGAAATTGTACAACCACTGCGTGTTGCCAGTGATTACTTGCGGTTCTGAGACGTGGTCCTTCACTGCTGGCCGTATGAGGAAGCTCAAGGTCGCTCAGAGAGCTATGGAGAGGGCTATGCTCGGAGTTTCTCTGCGTGACAAACTTAGGAATGAGGATATCCGCAGTAAAACCAGAGTAACCGACATAGCCCAACGGATTAGTAAGCTGAAGTGGCAGTGGGCCGGCCATATAGCTCGAAGAACCGACAATCAATGGGGAAGAAAGGTTCTTGAGTGGCAGCCTCGGACCGGTAGGCGAAGTGTAGGGCGACCCCTCACTAGATGGAGTGACGATCTGGTAAGACATGCAGGAAGTCGATGGATGCAGGTGGCTCAGGACCGTGCTTTGTGGCATTCCTTGGGGGAGGCCTATGTTCAGCAGTGGACTTATGAAAGGCTGTAATGAAAAATTAGGAACTGATGACAATACAATAACTTTATAACTATGACACTGTGACCCAATAGTCTCATTAAATTCATTACAGTTCCTGATCAGTGCGTGTTTTTTTAAGTTTATTTAAACTGCAACCTCCAAAGATTGATAATATCCTCAGTAAACAGATATGAAAATACGTCAAAGGGAGTATCCATACAAAGTATTTCTGGAGGTAATGTGTCAGATCCATGAAACCGTAATTGGTCATTATTTAAGTTCAAGCTTTTCGTTTTCCATAATACCTAACGTAGGCCCTAGGCACACTATTAGATATACTTGGAGCAGCTGCAAAACTAGTAGGTATAGGCGAATCAATGGTCGGACTTGGGACGGTACTACTGAAATAAGTATTGATAGATGTGTTAGAATGCTCGCAACCTGAACCTCACGGTTAATTATCTAATGACTTTCTCTAACTACATTGTACGTATTGTAACCTCTTTATACCTTATTCCAGTGGTGTGAGGCTAGTTAAAATATTTTTTATTAAAACAACGAATTACTTTTAGTGTACGTTGACGCTGGTATTGGAACAATAAATCCAGTTAAACTTACTTTCGTCACAAGTGGAAACCCTTTCGAGAGGCTATGGAAGATAAAAGTAACGCAAATACCTTGCAACACTATTTACAGAGGTAAATAATAATTGTTTTTTCTTTCATTGTAGTTATTTCATTAATAATATCGTCTTATGCTTTATAGTTTAAGAATTTTGTATCCTATAAAAACTAATAATAATAACTAAATCCATATAGTAAATTATACATTTCTTGAATTAATTAATCGTAGACACAAGAATTTTGTTTTTTTTTTCAACTTTATCATCTTACTATATGTTCAGCGAATCAGTAATTTGAAAAAAGTCTGTCAACAAACATTAAAGCAATGGGGAGGTCATTTCCTTGCCCAAAAAACCTCTCAGAAATTAAAGGACGCCGGTGCCCTGACGAAGGACGTATGTAGGCTGTAACTTTACTTTACTTTTATCAGTTTTCAAGATCTTCTGCCGGATACAGGCATATTCGAGAATGTACAAAGTTGTGTTTTACTTTCTTAAGCAATTGCTCTATTAGTGGTTCCTATTAACAGCGCTGTATAAAATAAAAGTTACTATTTACAATTTGAGCTTAAGATTTAAATTTTTAACATTTAAATTTTTCTGATTAATAAAAATTAAAATTGAAAAATTTTCATAGTGGAAAATTTGTGAAATTATTAAAATTTTACGTAATGATTTTTATATTTACGCGAATACTATCATATTTAATAGGTTGAACATTAATTTGGCGATTATTAAATAGATAAAAAATTACTGCCCTTTTTCTTGTGTAAGGATCATGACAAATGTAAGTCCTATCTACCCCTACGGGTAACAGGCGTGAGATTTTATGTTAATGAACAATTTATTTTACAAATTTGTCGCTTTATCTCGAGGCATTTTATTGGAGCTACAAAATTTAATGGCAACACTAATATATATTTTATTTTAGTCCTCAGGGCAAAGTGGTAAAAGTACTAGTAACAAAGATTTGAGGGTTAAGATACAATGCCTCGTATGAGTAAACGGGTCTCTGGTTCTCAACGTCACTTCACATATGGAATGCAACAGCGCTATACTACTAGCTCGCACTTGTATACTATGAACACGTGGCCCTTATCGAGTCTAGCTGACTAAATTATGCTGCAGACGTAATATATATTTTAATTAGTAGTTAAAGTTACAACCCACAAGCGTTCCACTACTTGGCACAGGCCTCCTGTCATTTCTGGGAGGGTTTTAGGGCAAGGGAATATCCACCGCGCTACCCCAATGCGTGTTGGCTATATTCACATGTCTACGAAATATATTTTTTTCTTATTTCTTAGACATGTAGGTTTCCTCAAGAGGTTTTTTTTTTCGCCGCAAAGAACATGGTAAATCAGCACTTTAAACTATAATTAACAATTTCATACGTGCCGGACGGGAATCAAACCCGGGTTCCTCGCGTACGGTGAAGTTTACACCGAGCGTTTAGACCCTGAGCTAATTAGTAATAATAATATATGTTGTTAGACTATGTCTATTTTCACATAAAATTAACAAAGAAATGCGTTTGAAATTTTTAGCAGATGAAGGATGTCTTCAATATTACACTGGAGTCTCTGGACAGCTCCGATCCTTTAACTATCATCCTGTAACAGGCTTACAGCTCAGCAACCAAGACTATGGCATTTGTATTAGAATGGAAAGAAACTTCTGTGGTATCCAGTACACTGCTTGCGCCGACACAGGTCTTTCTTTTAAAATATTTCATATTAATATTACTGTGACAATAAAACCAAGAAAAGACTTTTTATTTTCTTAGTTTTATTGTTTTTTTTTTTTTTTTTACTGTAACCAATTGACGCTTACAACACAGAACAAAGAACGTTACAAATGCCCTGTACTGCATAGCCGTGGTAGCTCAGGTGCTATGCGCTCGCTGTGAACTTTACAGCACCCGAGGAACCTAAGTTCAGTGCCTGGCTGGCAACAAAGAAATTTAAGTTGCTGATTTACAACGTGAATCCCATAGCAACTAAATGACCCTTTTGAGTGAACTAATGAATATCACAACAACTACGCCATCTAAATTATATATATATATATATATATTTTTTTTTATTATAATAATAATTTCCCTGCTCTTGGTATGGAATTTGAAGTATAACCTATTTAGTGTAAAAATAATCATTAAAATCAGTTCACAATTAAGATGTCGCGTAACTTACATATAAAAAGACCATACAGTTGAATTGAGACCTCCTCGTTTTATGAATTCAGTTAAAACTCTAAACGAAACCATCGCACACTTTCAACTGAGGCCATACTCTTGTGTCGAAATTGAGTTACGAGGGTGTAGTGACATTTAAAGGTGGGGTGTTTGACATTCATTATAAGCATCAGTCCGTTCAGTACAGCATTTGGTTTGACGTTGTGTTTGGCATACATTTTATATTTACTCGTAAAGAGCCGCTACTCAGGACACTGTTGCAAATAAGGACTCATCAGCCCTTCGGCGAAAACTTCCTACTTCCTATATTATTATTTTTTTTCTACTTATAAAAAATTGATGTGACGAACTCACAGCGTACCAGCTGTTAAGTGGCTTCTGTAGCCCATTGCCACTAACCAACTTTTTTTTATAGGATAGGGTGACAAACGAGCACACACTCCACACAGTGATGGTAAGTGGTTGCTGTGACCCATAGATATCTACATCTATCCTCAATAAAGAATCAAAATGCAGATACGTCGTCACCCCTGAGGACTAAGATGGAATACCCGGTATCCAGTAAAAAAAGTGTCCGGTTCTCTACAATCGCCATACGAAATACAGCAGTGTCAAACTGCCATTTAACGCTGGTATACTGTGAGAGCGTGGTCCTTCTCCAGTCGAGCCGACCCATCCGTGCTACAACTATACTGCTAATATAGCTGCAGTTTGGCTCTACCTCGTATACATACGATAACTTCAAACGATAAAGACCACGTCTGGTGCCGCTGAGGACTAAGATGGAATGTCTCACAGTTTGTAGTTATACTACCTCTGTATACTCTTTAGGCAGTAACGCGGCAGGGCTACTTGGCGGCTAAATAACTTAGAGTATGGTACCTACCAAGTTAGGTTTACTCTTTACTTTTAAACTTGGAATGTGAAATGAAATAAAAATGGGAATGTTATACTTGGCACTAACAGTCATTGTTGTTTTGTTTTGCAGTCAATAATCGTTCCCGAGCATTTACTCTCACTGGCAACAGTAATAATCCAGTTAACTCTATGATTGGCTCCGGTTCTGGTGCAAACAATTGCGCCAATGATTGGCTGCTAGTTCCGTGCGCTGCCAATGTTGGACGATTACAACCGGCACAAGCTTTATGCACTGATAGAATTTGCGGGGGAACATTCTCGGCTGACCTGTCTATGCAATCCTCATCCGTATTAAGTATATATATATTCGTTTTAATTAAATATATGTTTTATAACATAGAATAAGGAAAGAGTTATTATAGTCCACTTGACGGTAGGTGGCTGCTGTAAACAAAAAACCAAGCTCATGGAGAGGAGGCTACAGGGATGTCACTCTTGAGGACTCACAGACGGAAGAATGTCACTTCTGAAGATCCACAATCGAAGGAATGTCGCTCCTAAGAGATGGTAATATACTGGCTCGCTTATCCTTCACCACAAAAGTGGATGCATTGCTGCTTCACGGAAGAAATAGGGAGAAAGAAGAAGAAATTTATTAATTACTAAAAAAACAATGTCACGATTTAAATGATAAGTGTTCAGTTACATATCAAACATGAAAATTTCCAGCTTATATAGTAAAATTAATTCTGTTTACTATACAGCCTACAAATCTATACTATACAGTCTGTCTGCAATAACTTCCATTTATTACGCTGAGAACCCCCCCCCCCCCCCCCTCCGCCCTATTTGGAAGCCATTAAAACATGATGTCGCTCTGTTTAATTTCACAAACAGATAGAGGGCAATACCCGGAGTGATCAAGGCTATAATTTATCCAAAACACTGAGTTTCTTTTAAAATACGAAAATTTATAAAATAAATGGTATTTTATTTTCTTATATCTAAATATGACTACGTTAATTGATCCTTCCTAATTCGAATCGTTAGTTATTAATATTTATAGTCACTAAGCGGACGATATTTTTTAATTTACCCATTTTCATCCTTGCATAGATGATAGTGTAATAATGATCACCGTGTAGCTTCACTGCTCGACTCGTATTTCGTATTGGAAGGAGAACTCACCACACGGTAGGACGATAGTATAGGAAAGGATAGATTGGACGATAGCATTACCACATCCTTCTAACCCTTCTGCCGCTAGCCCGTCGGTTACTGAATATTCTATTCGGAGCTATATCATTTTCCATATCCACAACTAATCGACGTTATTTAATCATGGGTTTTCTAACGTCACCACCATACGACCAAATATTGTAATAAATTATTTATAAATACGGTTATACGGGACTAAAACAAAAGTTTACCATGATAAGAATTCACTTAACTATTCACAAAACCTCAGACAAAACACATTCAACTGAAGGTTCGACAGTGATAATGATCACATTAGGTTCGAATGTGAACATTAGTTGTCAAAAATATCTGATAAACGCTTAAGTATAAAATTTTGCTAATTTTGTGTCAATGCTCAAAAAAAATACATACTAAGACAACACTTGGCTAATACTAATAATAATTGACGGCTCTATTGCGCAATAACTATTTGGCTACGGCATTTCAAGGCGGCAGGTTCCAATCCCAGACAGAACAAGTATTTGTAATTTGTGTTGAAGTCAGATTAAACCTTTATGGTCTTCCCGAAATAACGAGACAACCTAACCTCAATCTAGAACAGCTCAATAACTAAACCTAATACCTTTCGCAGAAATTACCATTTATTTTTTTATTTTATTTCAGGCCACTCATAATTAATATCCAAAGAAATTAATTCATTATAACGAATTAACTGCAAGCTTAAAAGTGCCTAAGTAATTAAAACTGTACACTAGGGCTCCGTTGACCTCGTCATACGAATATAACAGTTAATACATAGGTTAACAAGTACATGTAACTATCCATTAAATTACTAAATAAATGTACTATAAACACTTTACGGCCTTGACAGTATGTTTTTCATAGACAAATAATAATAAAATATTCTGAATATCTTGTTGTTACTTTGAAATGAAATATATGCAAATAACACAGGTAAAAATATTAATTTATTTTTATGCATATTATGTATTTAGTACATTATGTTTAGCCAACAGTAACAGGTTTAATTATAGTTAACCTAAAGTTTCGCATTTAAGATACAATTGGTTTTTGGTGCCAGCTAAAAATTATAGATAGAATATAGTAGAATATGGTAGAGATAAATAATAGATATAAAATAGAAATAGAACAAGAAACTACTGTTTAGTGACTGTTAATTGTAACGTAATTTTTAACTGTAAGTAATTAACATTTTGTACCTTGTACGCATATGTATTATCGTTCTATATTTACTACATCTCGTAGTAGCTACGTCTACGAGATGTAGATGTCCTACGTAATGTAGAACTGGCGTAGAGCGTATCGCTATAAAAAAATTTGACAGTCTAATGGTCGGTTCAGTATTGATCAAATCAAATGTGTTTTTATCTTTTTTAATAATACATCAAATAAATGCTTAATGAAAACTTTCAACCTCAAAGTCACAAATATTCGATATAATGCAGTTATGACGTTATTAAAAAAGAGGAAGTAAAAAGAGGAAAATTTAAAAATAATACAATCCTGTAGCACTTCCAGGGTATTGCAGTTTAAATGTTTTCCACAAATTGTTTTAGAACTTGAGTGTCGCCAGTGGTGTCTTTCTTTTTAAGTATAGTCAAGTAAAAAGTAGTAAGTTAGTTTAGTTTTCGAAAAACAGTAGGATTATGTTGTACTACAACAATCTCTGTCTGTCCTGTTGTGTCAGAGCACCATAATCTTTGGTGAGTTTTGACCGAAGTAGTTAAAAATTTAGCACTATATTCTATACAATTACAGGATAAATTAAATTAATTTATAGACATTAAATATCTAATTGTTATATGTGTTATATGTACCACCCTATCCGTGTAAATATTTAAAATCGCCTATAATAATGACGAAAATATGTCAAGCAATACTTGATAAAAAATAACTTTACTATTTACAGAAATCAATTTTAGTTTATTTTTACCTCATAGAAATAATAACACAGAGTTACAATACATAGGTATTATGTCAGTTGGTTGTGCATCCTGAGGAAGGTGATAGTATTTTGATGTGGTTATTATTATTATTTACAGGTACAGTCAAACCTTTTCGTCTATGGTTTCACACGGACAATACAGAAGCGCCTGCTGACATAGGAAATAGAGGATTCTGTTTAAATTATATACAACAACCATGCACAAATAATCTTATTTAATTTATATTATGATATAAAAGGAATAAAAGTGTTTTAAGTTATCTTTTTGTTTCTGTTTTGAATTTTTAACCATTTTAGTGTAACTTGACATTTCAGTAAAACAGAACACATAATATAAAATCAGTTCGGTTTTGTTTGAGTGTCTATCTATCAAAGAAGTTTAACTTAAAAAATTTGGCGTGATTATAAAATGTGGTAATCCAAATACAAAAGTGAGGTGAAGTTTTACTGGGAGGATAATAACAGGAAGGTAGGTTTTTTTTCTGATTGTCACGTTGATTGTGAATAAATACATATATACTTACATTGCCTACACACCTGTCTTCCAGGTGTGTAGGCAGAGACTACGGACTTCCATTTGGCACGATCCTAACACACCACACTCGCTTCTTTCACATTAATTGTTTGTGCTCAATGATCGATAAACTTCGGAACGGAACACTAATTGTGGTTATAATGCCTTGGCTGGCTTTAAACATTACATAAAACAGGTGATGGTGACTTTGCGGGAATTATGCAAGCTAATTCCTTAAACGTTGTTAAATTCAACTTCGGCAAGAAATTACTGTGACTTTAACTATTTGTAAATTCATCATTACTATCATTTCATGATAATTATTCATTAATGGATCTGAGATGTGGTTCTACATTGGTTGCCGTATGAGGAAGATCAAGGTTCCTCAATGAGTTATGGAGAGGGCAATGCAAATTTCTCCGCACGATAAACTTCGAAATAGGATGTTCACAGTAAAATTATTAAGCTGAAGCGGCAATGGGCCGGCCATATAGCTCGAAGAACTGACAACCAATGGCGAAGAAAGATTCTCCCTCGTACCAGCAGACAAAGTGTATGGCATCCCAACTCTAGATAGAGTGATAACCTGGTAAGTTATGCAGGTTGCATAGGACCGTGTTATGTGGCATTCCTTAGGGGCGGCCTATGTTCAGCGGTGGGCTTGTGAAGGGCTGTAATGATGATGACGATAATGTTTTTTTACACAAAACTGTTTACTTTTCACTACTCGTTTAATAGATCTTTGGTAACAACACTTCTCATTTAAAAAACCTATTACTAAATGCTATGCTATACATTAAGTAATATGTTGTAGCAACTCGCTATTTGCAAACAGAGTAGTACGTCCACTGGGAAATAATTGTTTGTAAATATCTTTTACATATATGTATTGATATCTACGTAAGTAAATAGAACTGTTCAATGTAGGACAGCAAAAGTTACGTTTAACGACACGAAGGTCGGCTTACAATAACTGATCAATATGAATGCTAATCAAGGAAAAATTGTTTTTCACACAATTATATTCTGTGAAAACACACACACACACACACAATTATAACTTTAGTGCTTACACTTTTAACGTATATTATATTTAAATTACTTTTTATTTACCCATTCCTATGCAATAAAAGGGATGAAAGGCACATAAATATCAAAGTTTCAACGTTGCGTATGAAAACATAAATATATACCTAAAAATTGTGAAAACCTATTGTTAGGTTTGTCGTTGCCTCAGGAGAGAACAAACTTAAATTATTCTATACCTAGGTAGTCCACTGTGAAGCATGCCCTGCAATGAAAATTGTGACAGTGAACGCCATGTAATAAATTGACACATAATTACTATATATTCATTAAAAATTACCATAAAAATATTATTACTTTACATAAAAGGTACGAGTCTGCATTTAAACCATATGGTATTAATACCACACGAAACAGTGCTTGATTATACATTTAAAATGATCATCATCATAATCATCATTACAGCCTTTCATAAGTCCACTGCTGAACATAGGCCTCCCCAAGGAATGCCACAAAGCACGGTCCTGAGCCACCTGCATCCATCGACTTCCTGCATGTCTTACCAGGTTGTCACTTCATCTCGTGGGGGGTCGCCTTACACTTCGCCTACCGGTACGAGGCTACAACTCAAGAACCTTTCTTCCCTATTGGTTGTCGGTTCTTGGAGCTATATGGCCGGCCCACTGCCACTTCAGCTTACTAATCCGTTAGGCTAGGTCGGTTAGTCTGGTTCTACTGCGGACATCCTCATTTCTAAGTTTATCACGCAGAGAAACCCCGAGCATAGCCCTCTCCATAGCACGCTGAGCGACCTTGAGCTTCCTCATACGGCCAGCAGTGAAGGACCACGTCTCAGATCCGTAAGTCATCAGTGGCAACACGCACTGGTTGTACAATTTCGTTTTAAGGTTTTGAGGTAAGTCTGACGAGAAGATGTGTCGTAGTTTCCCGAACGCTGCTGGACGGAATCAAAGGCTTTCTCATAGTCCACATACGCAAGGCAATGTGGCAGATTATACTCCTCTGTCTTCTGTATAATTTGCCGAAGGGTGCGTATGTGGTCTATGGTACTAAAGCCTTTTCAGAAATCGGCTTGTTCGGGAGGCTGGAAGTCGTCAAGCCTGCGTGCGAGACGATTCGTAATGACTCTGGAAAACAGCACGTAGACGCGGCTCAGAAGGAAAATCGGTCTGTAGTTCTTCAAGAGAGCGTTGTCGCCTTTCTTGAAGAACAAGACCACCGCACATGATCACAAACAACAAACTACAAATGTCCTATGAAAAGTGTTTAACTTATACATTTTCCTTGGCCTTTCAAACAGATCAGAAAACATACTGGCCTACGGGTAGTTTACTTTACAAATCTGACAGGCGGCTTAACTATACGACCGCTCTTAGTTTTGAAATCAACAGACTTTTTTTCTTTAACAGGTTTTTTACTAGGTTCTTTACAAGATTTTACTGGCCCTACCGCTATATCTTTAGTGTTGATAACGGCAGTAACATCATTATCATTCAACAGATACACGGCCTTTAAACGATCGATCGAAATACTAGCTTTACGATCTTGTAACTGTACCAAAAATACCTTATCATAGTGTTTGATCACTCTAAATAAACCTTCATAAGGAGGTTTCAGGGGTCGACAGTGTCGTCTATAACGAAAACTTAAGTACAAGAATTTAAATCAGGATGGAAAATTGTGAATTACTACGGGATTTCAAAATAGGCTTCAATTTCGATATTGAATGACGTATTTTGTCTACTAAAACGTTATCGTCACTTACCTATGAATGTGTGACGTCATAAAAATCACCTGGTAACCGTAATGTACGTCCAAAAGTCATTTTGGCTGCGCTAAAACTATTATCACTTCTCAGTGCAGTACGAAGTCATAAAACTATCGTGGGCAACTCATTAACTCATGACGAATCATTTAACCTGGCTCCAGCCATGAAGCTTTCAACGAACGATGCCAGCGCTCTACCATACCATTACTTTGCGGGTCGTATGCAGTAGTTCTTTGTCTCTTTATAAAGAAAATCTTTAATAGCCTTGTGAATAAGTTGCTCTCAAATTGTCTACCACAAAACGACGGCTTCATTGCACAAACAACATATTTTGTCACCGTCAACAATGTAAGTATTAAAAGTATTTTTGACTGGAAATCGTCTCGAGGCGTTATAGCAAATCAGCTACGATGTTATTCTTACCTTTTACATATCGGATGTATGTTGAGAACTCGCTGATGAATAACAGTTGCCTTGTCCGCCGAGGTGTTTCCTTGTTTCTTGCCTTGCCTTGTGGTCTGTCAAAGTAACTAACTGTTGTCCCTCAAATAACTTATGGAAATGCCTAGCTGAAAATATTGCCGATAATTTACTATCATAGGCACTATACTATTGCTCTGCAGTAATCAATTTTTAACAAAAGTACCCTAAAGGCTCCCAGTCATCACTTATCTTTTGCTGTAGTACGGCCCGATAAACATGTATTCGAAGCATAAGAACTATAGGCGAATCTGCACTAGGATGAGATAGTGTGGCGGCATTTTGTAAGTTCAACTTACACTTCTCGAATGCAGCTAAAGACTGCTCTGTCCAAAGAATTGCGGTCTTATCTTTTTTCTTATCGTTGTGTAGATATTTGTCCAAATTGGCCTGGTACTCTACTGCGTTTGGTATGTGAGCACCATACTCACCATACCCAGGAAACGACGGAGGTACTGCACTGTCTATGGTTTGGGGTAAGCTACGATCGCTGCAATCTTGTCTGGCAGGGGTGTGATTCCCTCTAGTGTTACCTCGTAACCTAAAAATTCGATTTTTGACTTACCGAAACTACACTTGGCTATGTTTATCGTGATGCCATACCGGTTGAGCCGTTTAAATACCTGATCCAGGTATTCCAGGTGCTGTCTTTCATTATCACTGCTGACACAAACGTCATCAATGAATGTATAAACCAAATCCAGACCTTTAAAATATAGTATTCATGAACCTATGAAATGTTTATGATCCGTTACGCATTCCAAACATCATTCTCGTCCACTGTCTTCACTGTGGGTTCTCTGGAATTAATAATAGACGCATTAACTTTCAAATTTGTCAATTTATCAAAAGTTTTCTCGACTTAATATCAACTAACAATCCATAATAATTCAAAAAATCTGCCCCTAATCCAATATCTGCTATTACGAAAGTCCACTCAAAAGCTCGCCGCAAACCTAAATTTAATTCAAGTGTTCTTACTCCATTGTCTTTAATCTCGGTACCATTTGCGGTGTACAACTTGTAATGAGAGCAGAGAGCTATTTATAGGTATATTTATTTTTACACGGAATAACTGAAATGTTAGCAACTGTATCATCGAGGAAACGCAGCCCGGTGTTGGAGTCGGTGACACATAGGCGGTGTGATGGCTGCACCGCGCAAGATCCTGCCATAGCCTGCACGTCTGCTAGTTTTCCGGGTGCTTCTTCCATGTACACGGCTGTTGAGCAATGCACATGGAAGTTCTTCGGTAACGGAAGTGGTACGTTACGGAACAAAGTTAGTCGGGACTCTCAGGTGTTCGTCGGTTGGAATTTGAACGAGGTCTTCTAAAGTTTCAATAACGAGATGTACTCCTTCCTCTTTGCCGATGATCACGACTAACCTGCCCCTCCTGTCTGAATTTCA